TCCCTAGGAAACTCTGTAATGCAGTAAGAACTAGGGATAGAAATGTCTATCCCTGACAAATCCTTTAATGCTGTATGGACAAGGGATACAGTTGTTTATCCCCACAAAGTCTAAAATGCAGTACAAACTGGAAATACATTTATTTAGCCACCAGGGATAGACTTGTTAAGCTCTTCAAACTCTTTATAATGTATGAACCATTCATACAGACATACATGTACATTCGTCCACCCAGCATAGTCTTAATAATACATAAATCAGAGTCTGTCTGGTTTCCAATGAATTTTCTTATATTTTTATGATGGCCTCAACGGACCTTTAACTCAGTTCTGCATTTTTAATACAAAATCCTACATTTTTCTAAAATCTAAATGATACATGTATTGTGATCTTAAAAGTTACTTTTTGAAACTATCAGAGTTTCATCTAATGTTAATTGAAAACTGCCACTGCCAATATATCGTAACAATTTATTCATAAGAACTGTGCAGCTCTTAAAGTATCTGTCCCACACCGTTCAGATGAGAGGACTATGGCAGATGTGTGTCCATATCCAGTACCTGGCACACGATCCTCTAGGCTAGAGACTTTTATCTAGTAAAATCAAATAAAGACGAATGGTTTTTCCATCAAAAGAGAAAACAATTTCAAGGAGATGGATATCTGGTCATCCCTATCTAAAGTACTGAAGTGCACAATGTGCTTTGGAGCTGGGTTTGTCCCTAGTTAACAACTGTGTTGTAAGTGTGATTTGTATGTGTCAATTTTATTGTCCATGGAAAAACAGACACACAACACAAAAGAGGTGCACAAAAGACGAACTCTGAGAACTAGAACCAAGCATTTGCAGAATTCTTGGAAAAAATGCACATAAATCATCAAAAGACAAGTCTTATCTGACAGAATAAAAAAGAAGTGCAATATTTTACAATTATTTCAAGTAGAGAAATAAAGTCGCATTATGGAGCATCAATTTAAAGCTTTGTTTAATTGAAAAAAGACTAAATGAATGCATTCATTCTCCAGTTTTGCAGAAATGTGAACATTTGCAGTTAATTATGAAGGTGTTGTGTATACTGTAACTAGTGTGAGCTGACATTTGGCCTCATTTCCCTTGGAACCATTGTGTACCATATCTGTCATTTTGTCAGCTCTGTTAAAGATTTGACCTTATCTGCATGTATGTATACATCATACATTTACGTGGCTGACTACATTTGTGGTTGTGCAGAGTTCCAAGTTCGGTAACAATGTAATCTCTAAAATACAAACCTGAGGCATAGTTTGATGTAGTGCATTATATATTGATCCAGTATTGTGAGATGTCTGCATTTACCAGTGAATTTCTGCCTCTGATGGGGAATTGGGCTCAGTGATGTGTGTTTAGCAAAACCCAAACATCTTAAATACAATGATGTTCTGGTACATATGCTTACTGTACATTACATTTTGGAATATTTTAAGAGAGAGAGAGTGATTATGAAGTGACGCTTTTTTATTCTGTTTGGGGGGGAAGTGCCACAGTAACTATTGTCAGTCTTCAGGTCGTATTATTAATTGTATTTGTAATTTGTTTTTATTGGCAGACGGCTTTTAACAAACTTCAACGAATGCTGAGACACAAGTGGGACTTTGTGCTTGTTCAAGCTCAAGAACAACTCAGGTAACTTTCCGCAATACCAAATCCTCAAATCACCACGGTTTTCACCCTCACGTTAACCCATTGGCAAAATTCCCATTTTTTTCTGCTTTGGCCAAAAAGTAATAAATTTATAGCTTTATGGTTTACACAGTTCTTCATACGGGAAGGGGGGGGGAGAGTAGCCCGCCCCAAAAACCTTTCTGATCCTGTGGAAAGTATTTGTGCTGCAAGTTTACAAAAGTTGAACATATTTCAACGCTGGTGAATTTTGGCACTACTGCTTCATTAGTGCCATCACATTGCATCCACACTCTTGTGTACAGTGTACATGTTGTACGTTAATTAGCCACATCAGAGTTTTTACGTCATGACAAAGCAAGCACTGAGCTGAGCACAGAGCAAATTATCTGACAACTAGTCCACTGGCATTGGAGTTGGACCAAATGTAACTTGTAAATTTTTTTTTCACTATGTTCTGTGTTAAATTTGCTGGTATCGTTCACTGGCTACACTGCAGAAACTGCACTCTACCATACATAAATTCAGGCCCATAGCCAGAATTATCAGAGCGGCAGGCCAAGGCATCTGAGGGGTTTCAAAAATCAAGAAAACGGAAACAATTTACAGCCAACTAAACAAATCAAGCCCAAAACCCAACACGGTAACCTGGGAACAAAACTGAAAACAAAACTCACACAGGGGTGTTAAGTCAAATTTGGGCATCTGGCTGTACTTTAAAATCATTTAGTGTCATCATCAGAGAGGACATGTCTCCAACCATGGAGCTACATGTACATGTATTAAACATAGCTCCATGCTCCAACTTCCCCAGGAATGGCTGTAACTAGTGTTTGTGTCATTGGACAGTTAAGTTCCAGCTTTTCTCCTGGGGCACCCCTATAGTAGATGAGTGGCTTCTCTGTTTCCGCTAGCCACCAATCTACTCAAACTGTCAGTGTTCATGATTGTTACATGTACAGTGAGCATCCCCTTGCGGGTGAGGATATGTGCCTTTGTAAATTCATGAGAAAAGCTTCAGATTTGGTGATTCACATGTATATGTGCCTGTACATGTAGATAAGAAGATAATGCAAGAAGCCTTTGATCTTAAGCCGTTGTGTCTTGAGGGAATTGACTTGGCAAGTTTGGTAATAATTTTTTTTTGTGCTCTGTAAATGTATGAAGGCTGCAGGCTGTTGTCTTCCTTTTATTGATCTTTTACATGGTAGATCAATCAATATATACAAATCTGCTTTCAAATAATTAAGCCTACTTTAGATGCCCACTTATTTTAAAATAAAAAAGTGGTACATGTAAAGCCTGGTTTCCATATCGATGTCAGAAATGCAGAGAGTAACGCAATCAAGACGCAAACTGCAACAGGGACATATGGAAACATGCCAATGGAGGTGTTGCCAACAATGCAGACAAATGCAAATCAGCCCATGAATGATCACCAAAGTTGAGCCGGGTTCAACTTTGCTGACTGTCTGCGTCATGTAGCAGTGGTATCCCCATACAAACATACATGTTGGCATGCCCAGAGTACAACAGTGTCCCTCTCGCTTAGTTCCCCAAATTTTTCCCATTTTTCTCCTTAATGCTTAAATATTACACCCCAGTGATCAACTAAATAGCTGACCATCAGTGAAATGCATGAAACTGGAGTACAAGTTTGGCATCATGAGGTGGTACAGTCAATCTAAAAGGGTATTTTTAGCAAAAAAATCATGAAGTTTCGGACGCCACTTTATTGCAGTTATGGGTGAAATGATGTCATGCACCGTCTTTTCCGTTTGTGTCTGCATCTTCACATCTTGTGGACTGTCTGCATTATAAACGACCATATGGAAACTAGGCTTAAATACTAGACTTGGAAGGCCTTATGAAGTCTAAATTTTCTGGTAGATTCTACATTCGTACATGTGGTCACGATGTCACAGAAATTTCACATACACTAAAAGTCTCTTCTGGGATGAGCTCGCTAGCTTTATTTACATAATCGTCAAGACCCACTTAATTTCTACTTCAGCACTGCTCGAATGCATTTTACATTTAAGCAACATTGGATGAACCCATACATGTACATGTAGCTCTGTGTTCATGCTGTAGACGTTGCACTACTCAATTTGTGTGCATAATTGAAATGGTCATGCACCACTCACGTATATGTGTGCTTCAGCATGTCTTGCTCGGAATATTTTGTCAAAGCCAAAAATCTCAAAATTGGTGGATGATGGGACAGTAGTTTTTTCATCTCATTGTGAAGGCATGGTTTTTTAGTTCTTACACATGTGTACATATCATTCAACCTGCTGGATAACGTTTCATAGAAATCTGAGGGGAAAAGGGGAGGGGGGTTACCGGTATGTCCTGCAATCCAGATACTTGTAGGTACCGGTACCGGGACATGTTGTACATGTACATGTACATGTACGGTACCCAGTTTTTTGCAGCCCAGTTGTCCACTTTACATGTAAATGTCATTTTGCCACGTTAAGCTGAAATTTAGATTTCCCTTAATGAAACAAACAAAAAAAATCATACCCCCCAAAAAGACTCTTGAGTTATTACCGGTAGCAATATTACACACATGTACATGTATACCTGTTATGCAGAGTCAATCAAACAGAATACTCATCTGAAGCCATGCCTTCTTACATGTCAACAAACTGACTGGTGGACCATATTGATACCCTTACACATACATGCAGTTTATAAAGCTAGTGTAAAAGACCGACAGCAATAAAGAGGAAGGTTGCAAAATAAAAGTGTATTACCAAAGAACTACCAGGATATAGATTTGTGAGGCATAATTGAAATACTTTAATAGATTCATCATTTATTCTGGGGGGAGGGGAGGTTGGCTGTGTGTTAACACTACATGCAAGGCTCCCCTTAGAATTTTTTTCGTCTGGGGCCGAGACAAATCCTTCTGTTTTGATGAATTTTCGCTGGAGATTTCTTTCCCGGTGGTAATTTGTTTACAATTTAGCTTTTCCACCTGGTTTTTGTTGATGTCAGGCTGGCCAAGCATCGGAAGAAAGCTGACAGGCTGGTTGTTGATAGCCAAGAGAAAGCCTACTGGAAGACACACAGACCTCCGGTGAGACAGAGGCTGTTTTTTATGTCACAAGAATCTCATTGCCAAAGGCAAATTTTGAGTTTCCCAGAGAAAATAAAGGGCCTTTCAGAGACAACAGACAAGTTGCTGTTGATATTAAATTTATTTTGTTTGTGACATATAACTAAGATTAATGTTCTTCCTGACCCTGCCAGATCTGGAAAAAAATTGTATTTGAAATACATGTACATGTTCATGTATTTAATACCTGTATGATAGAGGAATGAGACACCGGTATGGAGTTTGATGAGACCCTTGGAAGTTGTGCCATTGGTTTCTTTCACAGATGCAAAAAACATGTACTGTACTTTACAAGCAGCCATCCAAATCACTTGTGTGCACTAGATACATGTTCTAGTTCCAGTACCTCAAGATGCATTTGTGTGGCCCTCTTTATACTCTCTGTATTCACTAATCTAGTGCTTGAAACAGATTGAAGTGCCTTTCATGTAATATTTATGACTGCCGCAATTTTTTTTCTCAACAATGAATAATTCTCAAAAATATGTGGGATGGTGATATCTGTTGAAAATGCATGTATGCCTGTTGATTGCGCCAGTTTTTCAGTTCTTGGCGGCTTCTCGTTTTGAATTTTCGGAGTTTGTAATCCAATCCCACATGTATGCACAAGGAAGAGTTCATCAGAATTGGGTATAAGTTGGAGCAGTCCCATGGGGTCATTTGCAATTCCCTGAATGAGATACTGTAGATTATCCTAAACCAATGGAATTACTGAGAGAAAATTTACATGTACATTGCACCTAGATCCAAGTATTAAAAGGAGGTCTTGAATTTCACATTAAAACTCTGCTGGAGGTAATGAGGTAGCAGATTAAAATGTAAATTAGACAAACCTGGATACAAGAACACTGATGAATATGAATTTTAAATGGAAAGCTGTTTGCCCTGCTGATATGTTTGGTCCTGTTGATCACACTTAATGAACATTTCTGAGGAAAAAGAATTTTTCTCTGTGATGTAATGCTCTGCTTGTCAGTAAGAGCAATCACTACATTTTTGTTTGCTTTTGGATTTCCATTTGTTAACCAATCATAATGATATTAATCCCTGTATCATAGCCTGGGCAGATCAACTCACTTGAGAAGGACATACGGAGGTCATACAGGCCCTTTGCCCTGGTTCAGAGCAAGAAGCGTACCGTAGAAGACCTGAAAAAAGAGGTAACTTCATCTGATTCTCACAAGCTCATTTGCTCTCATTCTTCTTTCAGCTGCTAAACCCATTTCTGATCCTCGTACATGTAGCAATTGAAGAATAATCCAATTTTATTGGAACTAAGTGAAGGTAACTGGTACATACATAAATGCATGCAGTGTTTTAGCTATATACATGTAGGTCCATTTTAGTGCCGGGTAAATTTTTGGATTGTTAAATGTAGCGAGCGCAGTGAGTGGAGCTCTTGCGGCTCATAGCCGGAGGCTATATTATATCCCATAATTTTACATCCGAATCTCGTAGCAATGCTAAGTGGATGTTCTGAATGCTTTTTGATGCTTAAAATACAATCAAATTGGTACATTTCAGGAATGTTTCAGTTCATTTTTTAGAAATCCATGCTGGGCAACGCAGCCAATTTGAACCCGAGAGCTGAGCGGAAATTTGCAGTACCGGATGGTGCCGCCCAGTGCCGCCCACCACTGCCCACCGTAGCTGGAACACTGCATGCACGTGCTATTTCTCAGTATCATTTTCAGTATTTTGACCACTGTTGTCTTGGATGATGGGCAATCCATAATGTAAAAGATGTTTCCTGGATTTCTAAAACACCCAAGAGACTTTTCTTCAAGTCGTTAGCTTTTAAAGAGGGCCTAGGCGCCAGAGCTGTGTTCTGAGTCAACATCTTCACTCGCTCCATTCCAGTTATTTTGACAACGTGTGGCCTGTTTCCACAGAACTCTCGCCAAAAGAAATAATACATGTACATATATATCTCTTGGAAATTGCCAGATGCTCTAGGATTTTCCAACCAGATTGCATGCCCCCAGTTGTTGCCTAATCCAGTTTGTGTAAACCCCAATCCTTGATTTTTTGCCATTCAACTCTCATTTTGCATAAATATGCTAGCAAGCTTATATTCATATCGTGTTGATTCCATTAAAAAAGTGAAGACACAAAAATATTTGTCAAAATGTCGTAGGTTTTAAGGAAATAATAATTGGAAAAATATCAGGAGTCCAGAGTGCATTGTATTGGCATTTGAATAAGTTTCATTCACAGTTGGTTATATTGTGCATGAAACATGTTTAAATTGCAGTGTAAGTGAATAATTACACATTTACCTGGTTATACTGGTAGAGAACGACCTGGTCTTCATTATAAGCTGAGAGGATGCAAACTTATATGTGTATATGTGTGTAATTGTTTCCCCTGGATGTGAAATGCATGCTAGCCAAACTAGCACTATTTCGTCTGTTCATAAAAAAATACTGTATTCTGCAAAACAAAGAGCAAGTTAATGTTTCACTCAGAGAACGTGCCATCTGCTGAAATTCATGTGCATTCATTGTGTCATAATTATATTCTTTTCATACCGTATATTTAATTTCCCACATGTAAGATAAACGTGTACTTGTTTCTGCAGGTGTTGCAAAATTACGAATATACAAGACAAATAAGTCAGACGCACTGTCTAAAATAGATACATGTACTGTACATCTGTATGCCTTTCTGCTAAAGACTGCAGTCAGTCTTGCAGGCTTTTTTTTGGGTTTATTTGTTTGTTTGTTTGTTTGTGTGTTTTATTTACAACCTGCAGTAGTGTGCCAGTGGTGTAGTCAGCTGTGTACGAGTTGAACCTTTGACAGTGTGAGGCTGCTTGTGTCATTGATTTACTGTGACTCACAAAAGAAAATTTGAAAACCATGATTTTATGTTCAACCCGAAGGATACAATTTCAAGATTTTTTTTTGGGGGGGGTTGAAAAGTTTAAACATCATTTACTTTATTACAGCTCTTTCGCATGTATTAGAGCATTGATGTTTTGTGTGAAGTGAAGGATTTTAAATGGGTAACAGATTTGATGACGTATACAATGAATGATTTCAACTCGATACATGTACAAGTAGGTCATTTAAATTCAGGTACATGGTTGTGCTTTTTCCATTAGTGGTGGGTTTGTTAAGCATTACCGCTGCTACGACAGCTCAAGTATTCACTCATTGCTGCACTGAAATGTTGATTGTGTTTTTCAGCTTTGCGGCTGATGTTGGCATTTCCTATCGCATCCTCAAGTGGATTTCCTTAATTTAGCTTCTTTCCATTCTGACCTTCCTGCAGTGCCATGGTAGGGCTCCATGCCCTGCCATCAGCTGGTTAATCATCTTTTCAAGATTTTTAATCTGAGAAAAGAGCAGGTTAATGAGAGTGATAGCAAAATGGAATGATAGACTTTTCTGCAAAGTTCATGTCATTCTTCTTGTAGTCGGCTGCTTTCTTCACAGTTCTAAGAAAAAACAACTTAATTTTGGAGAAACCTTAATGTAGCTCAGAATTTCTGGGTTTTTTTTCCAATTTGCATTTTTGCAAATGTTGTTATTGTTATTTAACTCCAACAATACAAACACCAAAAATCAGGAAAACTACGAAACCAAGCAAATAACATCAAACAAACAAGATTACACAAACTCCCAGAAACCTGCACAGAAAGCTATGTACACCAAGGACACTGACCACAGAAAGTTATGTACACCAAGGACACTGACCACAGAAAGCTATGTACACCAAGGACACTGACTATGTGTGATCATAGAGCAAGAAACACTAGCTCTGCGACATGTAAGTTGTCAAATATGGTGATACTAGAAGTTGAAGATTGTTGCATAACTCATTCATGTACATGTGTGTATACATGTATATGTATGGAAGTACAGCGTACATGTACATCACTCAGTTTGTCATGACATCAGATGAGGAATTCAAATCTTCTCTTAGTACCCAAATTGTAATTTCATTTTGAAGTCATATCATGGCTATATTAATTTATCATGCCAAAACTTCAACATAATCACCTGCACTCCCACTCTACATGATCCTGTGTATTTAAGGCCTCTATTATGTATGGATGTAAGTGAAGTGAAATGGAAAATAATCTAGAAGATAGGTGCACGTGTATTGTTTCAGATTTCAAGATTTTTACGCAGCTTCATTAGGACAACATTGTCGAAAAGATCTAAGAACAATGACAGCATGCTGCACACAGTGCTTCAGGATGCCTCGTTATGCACCACAGAAATGTTGTTGATTTTTCTTGACCTAAAAGACCCATTTTTAGTAACACTAAGTGGAATGGGCTAGGGCTGGCTTTCTTGCCGTGGAAGCAAACTAGGTTAGAGAGACAGAACTGAATGGGTCGGCAATTGTGGTGACTGTTTAATTGTTTGCATTCTGTTGCCTTCAAGGACCTATACGTAATGTACATTGTTTGGTTGGGGTTGTGTCTTGTAATGTTGTAATGAGCATGTGGAAGTTTGTTTGTTAAAAAAAAAAGTGGGCTGATTTAACATTTTTTGCTATATTAACCACTTGCTGCCAGGGGCCTTGTTTTCGAGGACGTAGGCTTTATACATGGAGCCAGGGAACCAGAAATTGGACGAAGGGAACTGGGCCTTGTAACAAAAGACCGTAATTGGAACAGAAGACCAGGCTGCTGGGCATTACCAACATTTTTTTTCACTCTCAATGGTGGAGATAGTCCAGCCTTGTTTTGAAATAGTTTACCAGGGTTTGGGGCATTAAGAGAGAGCGGATTACCACCGGGGACAAAAGCGCTCCACCACCGCAGCAATGAGCCACACACCACTGCTACATGCTAATCTGGCCCCTATTGAAAAGAGGTCAGCAGTGCACTGTGCCAGGTTCGCGAACAAAAGAAAGTTACATAAGAAAGTTACATGTACATAACATCGCAATAATGTGGGCTCTTTTTACAAGGCTGCAGGCCTGGCTGAAATACTCGGGCGTGAACAGATTTTGTCTGTCAGACTAATGTGGCCGCCAGACAGTAATTCGTGTGGGTGTAAACATCCATTAATTGAAATGATGAATTTTTGAAGAATTTTGAAAACTGAAAATCTTGAAAAGTCCTGATTATGTGCACTGCATTTTTCAAACCACCCGGCAGCAAGTGGTTAAGACTACTAATACAATCGGAATGGGTTTTGAAATGTGGGGATTTTTTTATTACGTGCTACATTACAGAACCATTGGTCCTAACTTCCAGCTCTGTGTCAAGCTTACATACATATGCAGTGATCAAGAACCTCTTAATGTGACCAATTGCTGTGGGCCCTTTGAATGGTCTAGGAGATTCTACATTTGTAAATATTGATATGTAACACAATTTTACAACTTTTCCCGATTAAGCTTGTCTTGGAGGTTGGTTTTGTTTGTTCTTTTTTTGGGGGGGTTAAAACCGATGTCTGCTTTCTGAAAGGAACTTTTTATGTTTCAATTTAACAGGTAGCTTATTTACAAAGACGGTTAGCAAAAGCCAAGATCACCACTCACAAAGCTGTCGAGGGGTAAGTACATGTACCGGTAGGCCTACCTAGTAGTCCATTAAGCAGCCAAGAGCACTCCAGTTTTGGTGCTTAAATGCCTGTGATACTTGGCGTATTGCCTCTGGCGTATGTACCAATTAGACTTATTTTTCTGCATTTCTTTTCTGTCTCACCCCCTCCCCCCCATATTCCAGGCAATTATAATTCCTTTTGAGTTTCCCTGAGATGAAGACGGACTACATGTCGTTCCATGCTTGATCAGGGTTGATTATCTGTGAGAAGAACTCTTTTTCAGAGGCTTTTGAATTTTGTCCTTAACTTGGACACTTCCCTGCCAATAAAAACAAATCCCCCGAGTTCATCATTACAGAATTTATTGAGGAGCAGGCCCTATTTACCCTTTAACTTGACCATTTTCTGGTTTTTTTCACCATGGCCTTAATGGAGATGCAGTGATTTGATTATCTGAAACCGGGCGGCAAAATAATGGAATAAGTTTGGAGTTACATATACAGGCCATAAATACCCATATTACATTTGTTACTTCTACAGTATAAGAAACTGGCAAGAGAAAGAAGAAATACTTGTAAATGAAAGGGCGTGCAATTAGAAACATGTGGTTGTGGTGACTAGACACCTGTTGTTTATGGGGATCCAAAATGTTGGGAATATGGCGAAGTTTGCACAAGTTGGTATAGATTTACACATGCACCTGTCCATTTCCACACAGGTGGTACCGGCCAGGTTACACCTGCGTGTTCCTTATTAGGCGTGGGGATCAAACACATGTTGAAAGACACACAATGTAGATGTCGAGTGCCAAAATGTTTGGACGATGGCCAAAAGCTCTTGGAGCTTGATTATAAGGTTCCTAACAGAAGAAATGTTTCCTGAAACTACGGTACCTCCACAAAATCTAGAGTCATGCATCAATGCTTAATAGCTGTTCTTATGATGTGTTGTACACTGCTACTAGTGCTGCGTGTGTAACTGCCACATTCTGTTACTACTTGCAGGTACGAGTATCATTGCATGTTAATTAGTTGATTGTTTTTATGCACGCTTCAATAAATATCAACTAATAACGAGAAAGACTGTGGGCATGTACGTACATGTATATTACAACAAAGCTCAGGGCCTATTCAAACAAACGTCAGACTCGCTGTCTCCACAATTCCGACCCGAGTGCAGTGTTTATTCTGTGAGGAAAGCCTTTGAGAAAGATTCTGCTTGGATCAAAACCTCATTCCGTGAATATTTTCAAGCTCAGTAGAAACAGGTATAAAGATTCCTACCATTTTGCTCCTGGGTAATTCCAGAAATTAGGGGTCCATTTTTTGTGTGTGTCCCTGTCACATCTGACATATGATTTTGTAAGTTTGGAAACGAATTTTCTAATTTCCAAATGTGATGAATTAATGCAAATTACCTGCCAAACAAATAGTAACAGTTTAAATCAAATCCGGTGATATCTCCTTGTCAACTAACAAAGGTCGGATGCAACAGGGACACAAAAATGTCCCACTTTTGAAGCCCTAATTTCTGGAGTTACCCTCCTTAGTAATGGAGATAGTAGTTAGTCAGTGTGGAATTGGTTGGATCATAGAAAAACAAGTTGATGTGTTAATACCAAACAGGGCAGGGCATCTCCAGAGATTGTCTGCTTGCAGAATGTAATGCATTTGTAAGTTAATGCCTTGCAAATGTATGGAAGTGTGTGATCAATATGGCTCACTGCGGGACAGATTTTTTTTTATATTAATAGTCCATGTTTGGAGTAGTTAGTCCACTGGGAATTGGTATCTCCTGTAATAGACACCTCAGGCTGAGCTTTCATTTCCCGTGGATACATGTATCAGCTCACTTGACAAAAGCTTCAATCAAGAAGAGAGAAAAAAGATTGAGAAAAACTCCCAGAAGTCTGAGTTTTGTGTGGGTGGAGTGCAAAATGTGTTTACCAAAATGACAGTTTAAGTTATCCTCTTTAAAAAAAAAGTTTTTCCTGCCTTTATGAGTAGACATTTACAGCGGTTTTAAGTTTAACACGTCTGTAGTAGATCATAATTATCACAGCTTTGACGTGAGAGGTACCGGTAAATGGGCATGTAAATGTATGTGTTGATAGTCAAGTACATGAACATGTACTGGCACATGTGTATTGCAATAATACTAGATATTAAGCTCAGGTGTGTGTACATGTACATGTACATGTACATGAAGTAGACGGGCACCTGTACATGACGTAGATGTGCACATATATGCAGTAGATGGGCACATAAAACAGGTGCACCTCACTAAACACGTCATACGTAAACTGTTTCAATATCAATCTTAGGTGACCTCTAAGAATGCCTCTGAGAATACAATAGCTCATCCTTTTTTATTGTGGATTTTTTTCCTCCGTAAAAATTTTTTATTTTTACAAATGAAACACAGTTTAGCTGTTTATCAAGTTCTGTATTCTCACTGGTCTGCAAATGTGAGTGGTGCCAATGGCGTTTGGCTGCATGAACTTACTTGTTCTGAACAGCAAGTCTTGATTTGGAAGTGCAGAAATTTTTAATTGAAGGAGTGAAAGTAGCCAGTTCTTGTTTTTATTTTGGAGTTGTGTTTTTCTTTTTTCCTTTTCTGTTTTTGTGGGTGGGTTGTTTTGAATTTGTACCAGGCGAGCAGCTGTTGTGCAAACGTGACAGCTGATGACCATCTTTAAAATTTTGTTCGGGGGCTTTGTGTTTTTCTTTTTGTTCTTTTGTTTTTTGTGATTTTTTGGGGGGGGGTATTTAAATTGAAGCAGGTGAGCCTGTCATGCAGACCTGCCCGCTGAACCACACCACACCGGACTTGTGTCCCCACTTGCCATGCAGAATATCCCACACAAGCTGGGAATTTTGCTTGAAGCCTCATGTACACTGATGCATACTGATCCTTGTACTGTACTTCTAGTCAAGTCTGACATTTGATTCAGCATGCTGGTGCCTGGGGTAAAAAACTACCAATAACCCTACCATAGATGGCATATTGAAAAGGACGCTTCCAGCTCTGAAAACAATTAATGGAAGGATCCACTGTTGCTGATATGTGCTGCGTGGTGCACATCATAGGCCGTTGAAAACATCCGTGTGATTAATCTCGCCTGCGCTCGGCTCTTTTTGAAAAGGAAAAGCCATAATGAAATGAATGAGAAAAATTATTTCAAAATTTATTTACCCATTAGCACGTGTATTACACTGTATTAATTTACTCTGTGGAGGATTCATATTTAGCGTTGCTGTACTGTGCCCTCCAAACACTTCAATGTTCAAATGCAAGTGAATGGCCAGTCAGGGAGTCATTTGTTACACCATGTTACTGGCAGAGTGGTCTTGGGTGGTACATGGCTTCTGGTACACTTCTGGTAGTCCTTATTTGGTATAAAATTCATGGACTAGTGATTGATGACTGGCATTGAACATTCAACTTAAATGGCCGAAAGTGTTGTCTTTTCATGTGGTACAGTGTATTTCCTGTGAGCCTCTGTATATCTCTGAATTATGGAAAGGTGAGGACATATGTGCCATGCACCTTTTTGTGTCCAGGTGATTATGTTCTGGTACTTCTCAGTTGAATGAGTGTGCTGGGTGTCTTTGTGGCCACACACAAGCACTTACTTTGAACTTGTTGACCAGGAACATATTTATGCAGTAGTACAAAAACAGTGAACCAAAGACTTTGTTCAGCAAGGCACATGGTTTGGACCTCAGTGGAAATTTACAAGAGAACACCCCCCCATACTGCAAATTGTTGTTTTACAATAACACGAGTTGACGCTTTCCTTGCATATTCTTCCAAATTGTCACATTAATCTAAATATTTGTCGGTTGGACATGTACATTGGTGTGTTTCTTGTTTGTTAGAATCTATCAATGCAGCTTAACACCAAATATGAAAGAAAGTGTTCAGCTACATTGGTAGATTCAAGTGAAAACAAACTAAAAACATACAGGCCAACAAATACTTGATTAATGAGACAATTCTGAAATCCTTTAAAATGAAAGATCAACAAGTTTGAAGCCATTGCTGTCCTCAATTCAGGTGAAGTTTGAGGAATCATTGACAGGTGGTATTCACCCATCCCTTTTCTTTTAGCTGTATGATTTTTTTCCAATGTCATTAAGCCAATACAAATTTCAGTATCACAATTTTTTTTTTGTTCTGGGGAAAAAAAAAGACTACAATTATCGATACATCCTATTTCACAAAATGACTCTGCCTGTGAAAATAAATACAACTACATTATATTAATTACATGATGTATTGGCAAATGTGTGTACTTGCATTCAGCAGAAACTTACATGTACTAGCTTTTTCAAAACACTACACAGAGAAGGAGATATAAAAGAAAGTGACGACCAAATTAGTCATGCATCGCTGATCCGCTCTTTTCTCTCCCCTGCACACATTATGGACCCACCGGGCAATAAAAATATGAACGGTATTTAAACAAGGTCACTAGATGGTTGATGTTGAAGCATTTCCTTAGCAACCACTATAAATTTCACTGGTAAATATTGATTGCCCATGGTACCTGTAATGAGTTGTCCATTTGGGGGAAATTTTTTTTAAGTTGCGCTCATCACAATAATTGACGGAACTTTTATCCTTGGGTAGCTGTAGTCCAAAACTACTAATTTGCTCCTCATCAGACACCATGGTCATTAGAATGCATTGTGTTCTTGTTCGTATCAGGTGTTCGATTGACCGTTGTACCTGCAAAAAGATCTTGATTTTGACAAGTTAAAAAACTAAATAGTGCTTCAGTGTGTGACGAATGCTGGTTCACTTTTAAGGAGTTTTTGTGTTTTGTTTTGTTTTTTTTCTACTGGCAACAAAGGTGTAGTACCTCCTAGAACAGTAGTTCTCTGTTATTTATTCATTTAGTTATATTGTAGAAAAACAAACAAGTGGACCAACAGACAGACAGAGTATATTGGGAGGGGATAATGAGAGAGGCAGGCACATTTTTGACTTTTTAACATCTTTCA